GATTTATCATTATATTGGGAAATTAGAACTAGACATATTTGAATATAAGTGTGAAAATGTTTAACATTTGAAAATAGAATGTATGACATTCATTAGTAAATGCATTAGTTGTCTGATAGTTTTGGAGAAACAACAACAAAAAAAAAAATATAGGTGTACTAATTATGTTACATTCTAAGTATTCTCTTTTGCTAACAGAAAAACGGCAACACTACAAAGCCCGCGCTTGTGCGCCATCTAGCGAACATATCCGGTATTGCACCTAAAAAATGTGCCAGATCTGATTCCACATTTACTAATGGCAAAGTAGATGTTCATCAATGAGATTGCTAGACGCCGCTCAGAAGACTGACAGGTCTTGATTGATTTAATTGAGTCTGCCTGAATGTTCAGAGTCTGCTGGTAGACTCAAGTCTTAGTAAATCAGGGCCTTGATGTAAGGGGCACAGATTCTGTTTAATTATCCTAATCTAATGAAGGCCTAATACAAGCACTTTTTTTGGGAGCTACATGGTGATGCAGAGAACTCTTTCCCTGTTCACTGCTGCATTGCCTCTACACTAATTGGAAGTAATGTCAAGCAATATTTCCAGGTCATGACTCATGGTACAGAAGAGTTCCAAGTGAACACGGAATACTGGTTACCTGCATCTCTGTCACACTGTGTTACAGACTATCAGTGATACACAGTATTGACACTATGCTCCAGCCCCGCCTTTTTTTACTGCATCCTCAGATCAGGTAGGCTAGATCCAGACCTGATTATAGGACACATTACATGTCAGTGGTCGAAAAAATGCCCCAGTGTCAGTCAGGAAAAAAAATGCTCATGGTCAGTGGTGGAGGGAAGGGGATGCACTGGAGTCAGGAGTCCCTGAGAAAAAAAAATGCCTGAAGTTGGTGTCTGTTACCCAGCAGGTGGTGGGGGGACAATAGTGCCGAGAGGGGTGGTAAGATCAATGGTGGCAAGATAAGGTGAGGGAGAACAGTACTGGGCAACAGTGGGTGATCATGAACTTTAGTGCTCAACAGAGGGTGGAGGGGGATAATAGTAACTAGTGGGGGAAGCTGAGGGAACAACAGTACCCAGCATGGGGTAGGGAAGAATAAAGGTGCCCAACTATGACTGGAAAGAAACAGCAGTAACTAGAAGGGTTGGAATAAACAATAGTGCCCAGCTAGGGTGGGGAACAAAAGTAACCTGTGGGGATGAGAGTAAACACTGGTATGAGCAGGCAACACTGAAAACAAAAGAAAATACTTGTAGTGCTACCCCCCGCAGGAACTGATGAGTTTGATTGGGTCCCTCTAAGCTCTGCACAGCCAGGCAACACGCATTTTCCACAGCTTCACACACAGTCAACAAACAGTCCTTGAGCTGGTTTTGTTGTTTTTATTGAGTTGTTAACTTGGTTGGGGTCTAAAAGGTATATAGGATGCCCATGGAACTGCAAACTTCTTAACAACACTGTACAAAAATGTGGATAAACAAAAATAACACACTGAGTGCTGAGGTCCCCTTGATGTACCTCCTTAGACCCCAGATGAATCCTTCCTCTTCACCTGGCTGTGCTGAGGGTATCCCTGGACAAGGGATTCCAATATATGCCACTTAAGTAGTCTAGGATGAGAACTAGTTGGGTTTTGCACCTAACCTGCCCTCTCACTTTATCTGGCCCAGGAGTTGTAGATGTACTCACATTGTCCTGTCATGTTAGCTTGGTGGGTTGTATCTGCTTTGAGGCCTTACGCTGGGCTGGCTCCTTCCCTGCTCACAGGATTGTCCTCCCTAGGAGACTTGGCAGAGTGGAGATCCTTCTGTCCAGCATCCAGCCTATAGGTAGGCTCCCCTCCCTGGGGCCCCCTCCCAGGCTGCACACTCCAGCACCTTCTCTTAGTCCATCTTCAACTCGACTCCCCCTACTGCTCAGGCTCTGCCACATTTAGGGTTGTCCTTGGTCACCAAGCCCGGCCTCCTGCCTGGGGATTGGCCAAGTTCCCTTAAACATGCAAATCTGGGCCTCCTCCCGTCCTCTGCCCTTCTTCCAGAAAGTTCTCTGAGTTTCTGGAAGAGTGGGAGGTCTCCATAAGCCCTGACCTGTAGAGCCTTCCAGCCTCTCCTGAAGTGAACTCACTACCTCACTCCCACGCTGAATCATTCCAGGATGCTACCCAGCCTCTGTCTAAGAAAAAAAAAAACAACAAAGCCTATCTGGCTAATTCTAGAGGGCACTATATACTAAAAAAAAAAAAATTCTTCAAAATTATGCTAATCAGAAAAAAAATATGTCAGCTAAGAAAAAACAATTAGCTTCTGTTTAAAATTTTCCAGAAACTGTACATTTACTGCACATTTTTACATGTACATTTTCATGCTTTTGATGCACATTTACATGCAATTGATGCACATTTTTTTCATTGACGTTTGTCCTTTGCGATCACTTTCCATGTTTGTGCATGTCTGCGGTGAAGAAAAATGTAGTTTGCTGTACTTTTTTTTTCAAAGCACTGCACTGTAGTAGTGTGAACTATGCTAATAGAATAACCTGGATTTTGGATTGGCTATGCATTGGGAATGAAAGTCAATAATGCATCCATCTGCATCTGGTGTGGATGAAAGAATGAAAAAAAAAAAAAAAAACAAGTGTTCCTTCATACTGTAGATACAGTGACTAAGCCTAACCACATATGCACAGAAAGTGTTTGTAGGATTACCAGATGAAAATGAAACAAAAAAGGTACAAAAAAAAAACTAAACAAATTATGGTGCATTATATTTTTATTTTTGAGCATACTGTATACGTTTTATTTAAAACACATATATATATATATATATATATATATATATATATATATATATATATATATATATATATACGCACACATATATATATACACATATATATATATATATATACATACACACAGTATTAATGTTCTGTATATAATACAAATACATTTCTGCCATGCAAAAGCTGGCATTAATGAAACATACTTTTATTACAGAATGTGTGTTTTTATTATGCATATTAATATTGCTGTTTAATAGAAGTAGCATGTGGGTGGGCCTAATCAGTGTACCTGACAATTGAGTAAACATTTGTGGATACTAAAATGTTTATTATATTGAATGAACACAGAAATAAGGCAGTTTACAGTAATAGCACTACATATGTTGCAGGCGATACACTTCTTTATGCATTAAAGGGCACTTTTTATCCACAAGACACGTTCCAATACTAACATATCAGGCACTTACAGACCATAGAATGCCAGAGGAGCACTTCTCTTGGAGTGGGCTAGAAAATTACTGGGTCACACTACGATTATCAATGTCCTTTCAGATTCTTGGCTGGCAGTGGGAAACCTCTTGTAATGGGAAACCTACTTTTTAACTCCTTGACAGATACCTCTCTCCTACTCCCCCTAACCAGTGGGGGCTCTGTCCCTGTCTTACTCCAACACTGCAGGCATGCCAAATGAGTCAAGATGGTCGCCAAAATTCCACAGGATTTATGTAATGGATAGAATTGCTACCCTCCCCAATATGGCTGCCTGGAGCCCATTGCTGAAGATATTTAATTTTTAGGTTTCCTGACATCCTACAGAAATGGCACAATGCCACCTTCGGGTTGGAGGATATACTGCAGCCTCCACTTGTCTACAAGTACACTACTGTTACATTCTAAACTTGAGTTTTTTTAGAGCTATAAATCGTATTTGATTCTTTATAATTACCATACAAGTGATACTGCTTTTTTGAATTTTATGCATATTTATATATGTTTTTGATTCCATCCCACTTTTTTAGTGCTTGTTTGTGCCAGAAATGGAAGAGATTTTTATAACATTATTTTAAAAAGACTATTTTAAAAAGACCCAGTCCATTTATATCAAAAACAAACTTTCCATAAGATTATTATTATTACATTTAATATATTCTATGTATGTTACTTAACTGCAAAAGCCTTCTTTATGTAGACACTCAAAACCTCTGAGACTGCTGCAAGGATTCACCATCTTGGATCTAATGTCATGTGCCAAAGCAGATTCTGAGCTGACACTCATGTACCAATCTCTAGCATGGGCCAGCAGCCTGCTAATTATGATTGTAGTTCTATGATGAGTAGATCGCAACTCCGCCATGCTGCCATCTCTTGACCCCTGACCCTGGTTGCTGAACTCTAAGATGATGTCACTACCATATGGTGCTACTCAGTGCAAAAGATAAAGTACCCTTCTTATATCGGGCTCAGCTCTGGGTCATTCAATGACAGACAGATTTTGCACTGTAAAAAGGTTTTGCTGGAGTCAATACATATGGGTCCTTCTGCCACATAGAGATGACACTTCATGCTTTGCAAGGGGCCACTGCATGCACATCTGAGGACTGGCACAGGTCTGTGTTCAATGGCTGACTTACAGCAAAGCAAGTATGGGGACGTTGGTGTGCGGCCGTTTTAATATTGGTTTAAATATTCTTTATATTAACAATTTACTTTTACATATTAGCTTACTAATTGTAAAACATTTGTACTTAAATTAATCTTACTAAAAAAAAAACAAACTTCAGCTTAGTCACTATGTCTCAGCTCTACTTATGAACACAACACTTATCAACCATTCTCATTAACCATACAACTTTTTTCAATTTACATACTTACGTATGTTATCATTAACCACTAGCCTACAGGGCACTTCTACCCCCTTCCTGCCCAGGAATTTTTGGTAGTATTTAATCACCTCCTGGGTTTTTTATTTTTTCTTAAACAAACCAAAAACCACTGAAAATTTTGAAAAAAAAAATGTCTTAGTTTTTGTTATAAAATTTTGTAAATAAGTGATTTTTCTCCTTCACTGATGTGCGCTAATGAGGCTGCAGTGATGGGCACTGATAGGCTGCACTGATGGACACTAATAGGTGGCACTGATAAGGAGGCACTGATATGCATTGACAGGCATCACTGATGGGCATTGAAAAGCAGCACTCATATATGGCACTGATAGGCGGCACTGATAGGCGGCATTGACTGGCACCGATAGGCGGCACTGACTGGCACTGTTAGGCGGCGTTGATAGGCAAAACTGATGGGCACTGATGCACACTGATAGGTGGCACTGACTGCACTGAAAGGCAGCTCAGATGGGCACTGATATATGGCATTGATGCGCACTGGTAGGCACTGAAATGTGGCACTGATGTGGCACTGGCAGGTGGCATGGATGAGCACTGATAGCTGGCAATGATGGGCACTGACAGGTGGCACTGCTGGGGCTACACAGATCATCAGGGCACACTGATCATCAGTGCTTTGATGATCAGTGTACATGTCCCCTCCGAGGAATGCCGATTACTGGCTCTCCTTTCGAGCTGTCAGCGTGACAGCTCGATAGGAGAGAAATGCCCATAACCGGCATTTCCCTGTTTACATGTGATCAGCTGTGATTGGACACAGCTGATCACATGACCGAGCCAACATCTTTGGCTCTTTCCATTGATCGGTGATCCGCTGTGTCTGAGGAAAGGAGAGGAAAAACATGAGAGCACTCACAGAAATGGAGGTCACAGCTCTAAAGCTGATTTTCAGAGCCCAGTTAAGCAAAAAAGAAGACTGATGAACACGGGGAGATTTTAGCAGCAGAAAATAATTTTTTTTTTAAACGTCCACCACTCAGTAGTTCTCAGCTTTACCTGAGAAACCATCAATCCCTGCACTGGACATAGAGATGAGTGAAGGAAAGATGGCCACCACTCATCTCTATGCCCTTGGAGGACTGGAGTGATGTCACTTCTCGGTCCAGCCATTTTTTTTTTGTTTTAAAGCATTAGATCAATGTATTTTTTTTTTGATCCAATGCTTTACATTTACAATGCTTTACATTGACCCCCCATATCTCTCCATAAAGAGGACCTGTCACTAATTTCTATCACAAGGGATGCATGCATTTCTTGGGTAAAGAATAAAAGGGATTACATTTTTTTGTAAAGGGACAGTGCATGGAGTGGTGAACGCATACATAGGCCATGCCCACATATGGAAACGGTGTTCAAACCACCCACATGAGGTATCACCACAAATGTCAGAGCAAGACCAATAATTCTAGCACTAGACCTCCTCTGTAACTTTACTCTGCTAACCTGTAGACATTTTTCAAGCATTACTCATGGAGATTTTTAAGTACTGCAGTTTCACACCATTCCACGAGCGTGCGCGATTTTAAAGCGCGACATGTTGGGTATCTATTTACTCGCCGTAACATTCTCTTTCATATTTTACAAAAAAATTGAGGTATATATCGGGGGGGGTTTTTAATCAGTGTATTTTTTCCAAAAAAATATATATTCATTTTTAAAAACAACATGTTTTGGTTTTCGGCCAAGCGTATTTTGAATTTTCAGTTTTGGCACCAGAATTTTCATTTCAGTGTACCACTAATGATAAGCTTACCTGTAGGTAAAATGTAAAAGAAAAACAAAACAAAACACATTTCCTACCACTTTAAGGTTGACTGTGATGATATGTCTGAAAGCATTAAGTATGGAGGGAAACTGGATGCTTTCCCAACTTCAGGGCAGCCTGTTATGGATACTACACTAAAGGAGATGTTTGTATCTCTTAGAGGAACTTTGCAGCAAGACATGAAGGATTTCATGAGACATACTAAACAAGAAATAGAGCAATTATGAGACAGAGTTGATTACATTGAGCACAAGATGGGTCACTTTACTAAAGTACATAATGATTTTGTAGATTATCATATTTATATGGAAGAGGAGCTTAAGCTACTTAAAATCAAAGTCACAGATATGGAGGACAGATCACGTAGAAACAACATGAAACTTAGAGGTATACCGGAAAGAGTTAAGCCATCTGAGCTTAAGCAAGTTATTGCCTGCATGATTATTGAATTGCTCCCCTCAGTTACTCCTCAAGAAATTATTATTGACAGAGCGCACAGGTTACCAAAACCTGTGCACATACCAGAAAATCTACCCAGAGATACCCTGGCAAGAATACACTTTCTCCATGTGGAGGATCAAGTAATAGAGTATTTTCGCAAACACTCTCCACTCCCTGATCTATACGCTGAAATCATTTTATTCTCTGACCTCTTCCAAGCAACAACGCTGGCCTGCAAAGATCTAAATACAAATTACGAAAACTCTTTGTAATCTCAAAATCGTCTATAAATGAGGCTTTCACACTAAAAGTCTCCTCCCTAGAAGAAGGTTTGAAACTGTTAAAAACATGGGGCATTCTGCCTAACAATGACAGAGACTTTCTGGTAAAGCATGTTCCTGGAAGAAACTCTCTTCAATAACAAACAAGTAATGGGTGACAAGAGCGCCATCTACTGGTGAAAAATGTGTTTGCACTTTTAGGATGTAATAACAGGAAGATGGTTTCATTTTGGATCTCAAACTCAGGATTTTTTTTAAGCACTCAGGAATCTCCTATTTACCTGGTTCCAGGGTCAGACTGACAACTCATGGGGCCCCCGGGCAATAGGGGATCATGGGGCCCCTGTGTCCTTGCCCAAACTCAAAAAAGCCTATGAAAAAAGTACCAGGGGCATCTCATGGGGCCCCCTACTGACCCCCGGCCCTCGGGCAGTGCCCGAGTTTCCAAATGGTCAGTCCGCCCCTGCCTGGTTCCTTTGCCCTACCCTAGAAATTTAGTACAGAATCTACTGTACACGAGGGTTAATTCAAGGCTCTTTTTTTTTTTTTTTTTTTTTACTTCTAGTTAAGTTCTGTTGTTCAATTTTTTTCATGTCTACTACATATGACCTATACTGGTCTGTTTTCCAAGCAGTCCTAATTCTATTGGTATAATATATATGCAATACATTGCACCTAAACCCATGGCAAGTTTTGCTTATACAGCCTTATATCAATTAAAATATTTCTCTGAAGGTTAAAGGGCTCAATAGGCCTTACAAAAGAAAAATTGTTTGGAATGAGGCCATTAACCCCCCTGGCGGTATTCCTGAGTGTAGCTCTGGGTTAACTTTCAGTACCAAAAGCGGTAATTCCAAGCTACACTCGGGAATACCCTGCAGTGTTGCTCCGGGATCCCTCGATCACTTACCTTCTCCTGCACTCCCATGATGTCCCCCCTGCAGTGTCCCTGGCCGATGCCGGCATCAGTCTTCCGGATTCCATTCCCTGCGAGCGTTGGGACATACGGGGGACGGAACCGGCGGGAAATTCAAAAATTTGAAAAGTGACATTCACTAAATACACTAAAATCACTAAATACATTACTAAAATCACATACATTTTCACATTGTCCCTAGTGCTTTGTCCTGTGCCCTGCCTGCATTTTTACTGTTCTTTCTGCCTGGAAACTGAGAAACGTCCATGGCGTTCAAAAAGCGTCCCTTTACGTCAAAAGCGACTTTAGACCAGCTAGAGAACAGCGATAGTAAATTAGAACTACTTGCAGAATTGAGTGATGATTCGTGGGGAAATTCATCATCAGACACTGAAAACAATTTTGCGACTTTGCTCAGTGATGTGCGAACTTGGCGCTATATTTAAAATTTCAGTGTTTTGGTTTGATTATATTATTGAATTAAATTTATTATATTATTATTTTTTATGATTATTTATTATAATATAATTTATGATTTTGTGTTTCAAATTTTATCATACCAGGGATGTTTACTAGACTCTTGTTCGGACAGATTTCAGTGAGTTATTCCTAAGAATTACAGGCCTACAATAAAAAAACAACATATTTCCATGCAAAAAAATGTACCGCTTTGAGCACAGAAATACTAACATAATCAGACCGCTAGGGAGGTTAAATCTGGAAGTGATATTATGGGTGTCCAAAAACATTTCTCATTGGATAAAACTCCAAGGTGTTCACACCCAAACTTTCCTATCCAGGATCAAAAAGAAGAAAAGGAGTTATGAGAGCAGTCAAAGATTCTATTAACTTTCAGCTATTAGAATCTCATGAGGACCCTTTTCGCAGATATACAGTCAGGTCCATAAATATTGGGCATGGACACAATTCTAACATTTTTGGCTCTATACACCACCACAATGGATTTTAAATGAAGCAAACAAGATGTGCTTTAACTGCAGACTGTCAGCTTTAATTTGAGGGTATTTACATCCAAATCAGGTGAATGGTGTAGGAATTACAACAGTTTGCATATGTGCCTCCTACTTGTTAAGGGACCAAAAGTATTGGGACAATTGGCTTCTCAGCTGTTCCATGGCCAGGTATGTGTTATTCCCTCATTATCCCAATTACAATGAGCAGATAAAAGGTCCAGAGTTCATTTCAAGTGTGCTATTTGCATTTGGAATCTGTTGCTGTCAACTCTCAAGATGAGATCTAAAGAGCTGTCACTATCAGTGAAGCAAGCCATCATTAGGCTGAAAAAACAAAACAAACCCAAAGAGATAGCAAAAACATTAGACGTGGCCAAAACAACTATTTGGAACATTCTTAAAAAGAAGGAACGCACCGGTGAGCTCAGCAATACCAAAAGACCCGGAAGACCACGGAAAACAACTGTAGTGGATGACCGAAGAATTCTCTCTCTGATAAAGAAAACACCCTTGACAACAGTTGGCCAGATCAAGAACACTCTCCAGGAGGTAGGTGTATGTGTGTCAAAGTCAACAATCAAGAGAAGACTTCACCAGAGTGAATACAGAGGGTTCACCACAAGATAAACCATTGGTGAGCCTCAAACAGGAAGGCGAGATTAGAGTTTGCCAAATGACATCTAAAAAAAAGCCTTCAGTTCTGGAACAACATCCTATGGACAGATGAGACCAAGATCAACTTGTACCAGAGTGATGGGAAGAGAAGAGTATGGAGAAGGAAAGGAACTGCTCATGATCCTAAGCATACCACCTCATCAGTGAAGCATGGTGGTGGTAGTGTCATGGCGTGGGCATGTATGGCTGCCAATGGAACTGGTTCTCTTGTATTTATTGATGATGTGACTGCTGACAAAAGCAGCAGGATGAGTTCTGAAGTGTTTCAGGCAATATTGTCTGCTCATATTCAGCCAAATGCTTCAGAACTTATTGGACGCCGCTTCACAATGCAGATGGACAATGACCCAAAGCATACTGCAAAAGCAACCAAAGAGTTTTTTAAGGGAAAGAAGTGGAATGTTATGCAATGGCCAAGTCAATCACCTGACCTGAATCCGATTGAGCATGCATTTCACTTGCTGAAGACAAAACTGAAGGGAAAATGCCCCAAGAACAATCAGGAACTGAAGACAGTTGCAGTAGAGGCCTGGCAGAGCATCACCAGGGATGAAACCCAGCTTCTGGTGATGTCTATGTGTTCCAGACTTCAGGCTGTAATTGACTGCAAAGGATTTGCAACCAAGTATTAAAAAGTGAAAGTTTGATTTATGATTATTATTCTGTCCCATTACTTTTGGTCCCTTAACAAGTGGGAGGCACATATGCAAACTGTTGTAATTCCTACACCGTTCACCTGATTTGGATGTAAATACCCTCAAATTAAAGCTGACAGTCTGCAGTTAAAGCACATCTTAGTTTCATTTAAAATCCATTGTGGTGGTGTATAGAGCCAAAAATGTTAGAATTGTGTCAATGTCCCAATATTTATGGACCTGACTGTATTATACTAGTAATTTCTATCAACAATTTCTTATAAACTTGTAAACATATATGCCCCTAACAAACATCAATTGAGATTTCTTTAAAAAAAAAAAAATTATGAATGGCCAGGAAGTTACAAAAAGTTACTATTTACCATTCTATGGACACTTCAAGAATATCACAGACTGGAATACCAGGGATCAACACCATACTTATTTAGAATGAACTCTTTGACGCATAGAGATGCATCCATACTACGGAGAGAGACTATACTTTTTTCTCCAACATACATAAAACATATCTAAGAATTGACTATTTCTTAACGGAAACATTTTTACTACAAAAGGTTACAGATACCAGTGTACATAACATTACATGGTCCGACAATACCCCTATCACCTTAGATATTAAGCTTGAAGGGACATGTACTAGAACCAACCTCTGGTGTAATAACATTTATCTTTTCTCATGATAAATATAGGGTCGAAATAAAAAAAGAAGCCTAAGTGAATATTTTTAATTGAATGCTTATGACTTATGATAGGACAGTTTTAATGATAGGTATGTTCACAATGCCTTTTTATGAGGAATATTGCTTCAATAAGACTCTAGGGAGAAAAAAATAGGTCACAAAAAAATGTACACAAATTAGAGGGGGAACACAAGAAAATCCCCCCAGGAGACCTTGCTCAAACAACTCAATGTTCACAGACAGGAATTAATAGAAACACTAATAACTGAACAGGAAAAAACTTTAAATGATTCAAACTAAATTTGTATTCTTAGGGAAAAAGAGCAATTACACTATTGGCTTCATTTGTCAACATAGAACTAAGTACCATATTTTTCACTCCATAAGATGCATCTGATTATAAGACGCACCTAGATTTTGGAGGAGGAAAACAAGAAAAAAAATATTCCGAGCCAATGGACTGCAGGCATAGTACAGGAGATGACCAGAGACTGAAGACAGTGCAGGAGATGACCAGAGACGGCTGCGGACACAGTGCAGGAGATGACCAGAGACGGCTGCGGACACAGTGCAGGGGATGACCAGAGACGGCTGCGGACACAGTGCAGGGGATGACCAGAGACGGCTGCGGACACAGTGCAGGGGATGACCAGAGACGGCTGCGGACACAGTGCAGGGGATGACCAGAGACGGCTGCGGACACAGTGCAGGGGATGACCAGAGACGGCTGCGGACACCGTGCAGGGGATGACCAGAGACGGCTGCGGACACAGTGCAGGGGATGACCAGAGACGGCTGCGGACACCGTGCAGGGGATGACCAGAGACGGCTGCGGACACAGTGCAGGGGATGACCAGAGACGGCTGCGGACACAGTGCAGGGGATGACCAGAGACGGCTGCGGACACAGTGCAGGGGATGACCAGAGACTGAAGACAGTGCAGGAGATGACCAGAGACGGCTGCGGACACAGTGCAGGAGATGACCAGAGACGGCTGCGGACACAGTGCAGGGGATGACCAGAGACGGCTGCGGACACAGTGCAGGGGATGACCAGAGAGGGCTGCGGACACAGTGCAGGGGATGACCAGAGACGGCTGCGGACACAGTGCAGGGGATGACCAGAGACGGCTGCGGACGCAGTGCAGGGGATGACCAGAGACGGCTGCGGACACCGTGCAGGGGATGACCAGAGACGGCTGCGGACACAGTGCAGGGGATGACCAGAGACGGCTGCGGACACCGTGCAGGGGATGACCAGAGACGGCTGCGGACACAGTGCAGGAGATGACCAGAGACGGCTGCGGACACAGTGCAGGGGATGACCAGAGACGGCTGCGGACACAGTGCAGGGGATGACCAGAGACGGCTGCGGACACAGTGCAGGGGATGACCAGAGACTGCAGACCTTTGGGGAGCAGGGGAGGGGGAGCGGGTACCCGAATTTGACAGGTACCCGCTCCCACTTTTGCGGAGTTGTCCTCCCTCCCCGTAGTCTTGTGGGACATGTGACAGGTCTCAGAAGACTACGGGGCCATTCACAAAGCACAGTGCTTCTCCCGCATGTGCAGTGGGCACCCGGCTGTAAAGCCGCAAGTTGTCACAGCCGGGTGCCCACACTGAAGATGTCGGCAAAAGGAAGAGAAGACGGCCAGTGAAAGCAGGACACCGCTGGACCAAGGTACAGGTACAGGTAGGACCGAGGAGATCTAATGGAGGCATGGGGCTACCAGACATAAAAAATTATGCTTCACTCTTAGATCAATTGAAATATTGTTTTTTTATCATAAGAAGAAAAATTGAAGGTTGCTATATAAAAGGAGGACACAAAAGGGACAAGATCTCTTTACATTAATAATAGCATATTTTCTTCAGTCAAATTATTCCTCAATTATATTCTATCATCAGCTCACTCCCAACATGGAGATATTTGCTAATAAAAAAAAGAGCTATTGAAGAGGTTAAAACTGAGGATATTCCTCTGCAAGCATATGCATATTGTATCCCTGAAATATAAGTTGATAATTGCATGCAACAATGTTATTATTTGCTATCACAACTGCCCCCACATATTAATAGCAAATCTAGAACTCCCCCAAAATTGGGAATTTATTACAGCCTTTAATAGATTCAAAGAAAAGGGAATTTCCTTTTATTATGCATGGTTAACTGACTTTATTATTGATGAAAAAAAGCTCTTACATGGTGAAGTAGAAAGCAGAACCTGGCCATTGCTTCTTTTGGAAACAATGGCAGTAGGTTATACATTATAACAATAAATCATCTGCATGTATTGAACATTGGGAAAATGCTCAGAAAATGTGAAACAAAAAAGGTATCTAACCCCCTATAGATTATCTAAGATTTAGATGGTGATGCGAATATCAAATAGGAACCCTAAATCATATATTTTGGAGTTGTGAACATATTCAGAGTTTCTGGAATCCTGTTTCAACTTTTTTAGTGCCCCTTATGGATGTCTTAACCCCACTCACACCAGCAATGGAACTTTAAAGCCTAAATATAGAGACATACCCAAAACAATTTAGAACGATTGTAATACAAATATTCATTGCTGCTAGACTAACAATTTTGAGTCTATGGAAATCCAATATTACACCCAATCTATACAAAGTTATACACACAGGGTAATTCTAAACTCATGCGTGCATAAAAAAACTACAAACTTCACAAATTTAAACTATTATGGCAAATATGGACCTCTAATCCGAAAGCTTCTAGACAGCTTAAAAGAGCTTTGCAACACATGATACTTTTGTATTTTCATTCTTGCTCAACTGTTATGGATGAATCCTCTACCAATTAGGACATGTTTATTAATAGTTTAATGTCATTTACTTTATTTTTCTATTGTGTTTTTTGTAATGATGGAAACACCTGTTACAGTGTGAGCCCTATTGGGTAAGAGGTATTCACATTATACTATGGTTATTTTATTTTTCTACTGAAGCTGACATGACATGGAAGACTTTTACTGTCTTGGAATGTTTACTACTTTTTTTTTGTTTACAAAAGATACTAATATTAAAGATATAAAAAAATAGATAAAAACCTATTGATTAAAGAAAAAAAAACTTTCACATAGGCAGCACCCATACATAGGAATGAATCAAAACAAAATATCTCCTGTGCTAGGGGAGGGATGCAATACTATATACGTTTCTCAAGGAGCTGCTGTTATGCTAGTGCCTTCTAGTTATACTTACTAATGTCATTAAAAGATAATACCAGTGCTCCTAAAGTGCAGAAAATGTTAAAACAATTCATACAGATGTATACCAATTTCATCAACCTGTCGAAAAAAAATCTGCTAAAGTGCAAAGCTCAAGTAAATAAATTAAAACCCAACAATGTGTCACTGTCTGATTCATATTCAGAACTATACAACTGTGCAAATAACAGATTGTACAAACAGCAAATATGTGCAAAAATGCAAATTTTAAATAAACTCTAAAAATTATAACTTTCATTATTATGCAAGAATATCTGAAAGTACATAAATCTATAGAAAAGTTAGTCATAAGTGTTCCCAATGAGTAAAAGTGCAGCTACAATGCAGTTGATCAGTACTTATGCTCAGCTGTCCACCACCCCACTTGGATGAGAACTCACCAAAGGATGTGTGACCTCTTAAAGTGCTTTTTATCTTGTACCTACAGCTAAGCCTATAATAAAGCTTAACTGTAGGTACAGTGAATATCTCTTAAATGAGCACCATTTAGGAGATATTTACATGTGTAGCAGCCGGTGACATCACCAGCGCATGAGCACTGTGCTGTCAATGGACTCCTGATGTCATCATAGCTCTGCCATTCAAATGACTAGGTTTGCAAATCTGGAAGGAAGACCTAGTAAAGATAGAATCCCTGTCAGTCAGCGCTGGAGGGATAGTCTATCTAAATTTTAGTGCAGTGCCTAGCCACATTATGACACGGGAGGGGGACCAGTTTTTTTTTTTTTTACCTGTCTGGGCTTCTAGTGGTTTCACCTGCCTTGTGGGCTGCAGTACCAGGGCTGGCAAACGGGTGCTCTCACAACCAGAGGTTCACTTCGGCAATTAGCCATCACCTGGGGCTGATTGCAGGTGGTGTATTTAAGGACATGAGCCTGCTTGGGGTTTTTCCATGGGCCCCTGTATTTTTTTTTTTTTTTGCCAACTACCACTCCTGTTTGATCCCTGGCTTGTGATCCTGACCATTTCTCCGCCTGCTCCTTTGCCCGATAATTGACCCGGTGCCCAAAAGCATGTACCTTTATTCAGGTTTGGGTTTGCCACTTGTTTTATGTCATTTGTGTTACTGCGACTGCTCAATAAATTTTTCTCTTGCACCAATGTGTCAAACTTTTCACACCCGCATCTGAACACTCCCTTTAATTTTTCTAAAACTCAAAGATTTTGTCCATGCCCTATCCCCCTCCTCACAACGGTATTAGTACTCAAAAAGATACAGACTATGACGACATGGTGCCTGACCCCTGCCCCTCTCACCAACTTTTGATAAAGGACTGGCCAATCTCACACCATTCTGTCACTTATGTAACAATGTTAGCTGTACCCTGGACAAAAACTTTTCCAGCTCGCGGGGCCACAATATAGGTGCCAGCAGCCTGGGAGTGCTTGTCACTGGTTTAAGTTAATTAAGCAATTAACTTTTCAAGCTACCGCCAACACCTTGACTGAGAAGGAGGAAACTCACAATCTTAACAAGAACAAATATGAAAAATAAACATCTGTACACACACTGTCACCACAGACAGGTGTATTCAGAGATTTATCATATACAGTAGCACTCTTCAAGAGATGGGGATTCTTTTAGTTTGCATTAAAAGCCTTAGGGCAGTTTTAACACTTTTCAAAATAGGGTTTAATAATGAAAAGATCAAATGTGGCAAATAAAATATTTACAGAAAAAAAGGGTGTTACAAAAAAATAAAGAGACAATAAAACAACAGAGAATTGAAAAGGAGTTGAAAATGAAGAATACTTGCAAAGTTCTATGTTGTAGCAGAGTTCAATCAATAAGCAAGGTATTATCGGCTCTCATAACTTGACAGATGTTTCTTCATTGATGGTACATGAGCGTTATCAAACGGTCCAGACATTCCCTTTTTCTGTGGTATCAAAGGGGTGTTGACAGAGACCATCTAACCAATCATCCAGTTTAAGAGGTGGGTGCTGGGAGGTCACAATGTTTATGACCAAGTCCGAAATACAGTTTCTTATAAGAATTCATATTTCTGAATACCTACCATTAATAATACAGCCTCATGGCTCAAAATGCAGATTATTGTACCAGCTGCAAAAAGCTTCAAAATTGATATAAAGTGTACCAATTAATAAATAATTTCGGATAAATCTATTTCTCATAGGGGTGTAAAGCCTAATCACTCTGGTACCTCCAGCATAGGGGTGTTTGGGTACCAATGCTACCACTGAGAAAAATATAAAAAATGTGTAATATTTTTCAAGCTTGTGAGGGTGACAGTTTTGATTAGGTGCAAAAAAAAACTTTTGTGCAAAAGGAGTGTCTCAATATAAAAAAAGTGTCTCAATATAAAAAAAATTTACCAAAAAACCTTGATAATATAATGGCAGATCATCCATAAAAATTCTCAGAAAGGAAGCTGAGGGTGACACCGATTTTCGATCGAAATAACAGGACTGAAAAACTTTGTAGGCTGGTTAATGGAGAAAAGGTCCTGTGTCTCCAATCAATGGATTGAAAAAGGACCATCCTGGCAATCAGTATCCATGGGGGTATTGTGCCAATGGCACTCCTGGGAAACAGGGACTTCATGGTGCAATTATAAAAAACCATTCCTTTGCCATTAGATACTCATTGTTTTAAACTGTCAACAGGTGAACCAGCCGACACAGCATGGCTGCCAGCATCAACAGCTAATCATGTGCATAAATGCACAATTACACAGCACATGTGGGGCTGGCATCAAAAACGATTGTTTATAACTAGTTGCTGACCGCCCTAGCCGAATGCGGTTTCGGCCGGCCAGTTCTGATCGACGTCATATGACGTCCCTCTCTGCGCGGAGCGGCACCCGGCGATCTCCGTGATCGCTGACATCTAGTCAGGCTCGTTTATGTGATGTGCTGTTGATGCTGCCAATGCTGGTGTCGGCCTGGGACACCTGATCAGAGTAAGTCCAATGACGTGATCTAATAAAGGAATTGGTTTTTATAATTTGCACCATGAAGTCTTTCTGTTTACTCTCGAGTGCTTGGCATTTCCCCCCATGGATACGTTTGAAGGTGGTCCTTTTTTCTATTGAGAAGTGGATTTTCGATTGCTACAAAGTTTTTCCACCTGCAATTT